TGAATGTGAGTCTTGTAATAGGTATGTCTGTCCTGTCACCAAAATTCTTTCCTACATCCATGGCTTGTAGTATTTCTTTCCTGTTTTCTAAGCATATCCTTCATGGCACTGACCTTTTCTTCCAACAATTTGATGTAGAACATTTGTTTGCTAAAAATGCCTTTATTGGATAATAAGCATGGGTTTTAATAAATAAAATATCTTTAGGTAATGACTGGTATTTTAAAGGTATAATTAAATCCTTCTCATCTCAGAATTAATACTAGTTTATTTAAGAAAACAAACATCACTTCTGTTAAGTATGGTGTCAAAACACTCCTGAGCAGCCTCTTATGTGAATTTAGATGCAAGAAGTACTGAATTGAGATTAAATATTCAGGTGGAATGGAGATTCTTCATAGGGGTAATTTCTGTTACACAGTAGAATATGAACACATAGCTTTAATTTTTAGATGTGTAAATTCTTTGTGGGGCAAGGCTTGTAGCAAGAAGAGATTTAACTATCAATGAGATGTCTAGAAATGTAGACACACTACTAAGCACACAAACATTTTTTCCATGTGACATTCTCCCACATTTGTTTTCTTTCCAAGTAGTTCCATTGATTTTATTAGGCTTACTTACTTCTGATTTATGAGGCTGTGAAGGAGATTGGAATGAGGTCTTCTGGGGTCACTGTTGCTGTAGAAAATTAAAGCTAGGGGCAAGCATGCTTTATATAAAAGCAAGGTAGTCTCCCTTTCTCCTTAAAATCTAGAGAAAGCCATTTGGAGAAAGTAAAACTTCCATATAGGGCTGAATTCCTTTATTTCCTCTTTTTCATTTCAGACTTAGTGGTTTTGTGAAGTATTAATTCCCAACTCTAAAGAACTTGTCAATGTCATTTGCAAGATTCGAGGTTTCTCTTTCCTTTCAGTGTTCATGTTGGTGTCTTTTTAAAAGAAGGATTTAGTTTTGCAAAGGGTCAGGCTTTGTTTTTTAGGTATATCCCGTAATAGGATTTGTATCTTCTTTCCACATTCTTTCCACTATTGCAGACATTCCCGCCGGGAATGCTTACAGTAGATTTTTTTTGTCAATTTAAAAAGCTGTGCTTTCTTGGAAGGGCTTATCCTGAGCCTTAAACCTGCTCCTCTGCCTTTCTCCAGGGTGTATATTGGTAGATGGATTAAATGGTTTTTGGCGTGTGCATTTCAAAATCACCTGGTAGGTGACACTGCAGTAGCGAATGAGCCCGTTTGGTCTTAGATAGGTAGACTATATGTAATTATAGAGATATATCTTCAAAGATACACCTTCATTAATGAGGTGGAACTACACATACATTCATAGTTATACATGTGATAGCACACTTTGAGTCACATTACCTGGCCTGGCTGCATGGCAGCTAGTTTCTAGTTTGCATTTTGTGGTTTATGACAGAAACATGTCAAACTTAAGGTACACACCCTCTGAAAGTTTTCAAAGTTGATATGAAAGAAATTCATAGATACAGAATACTTCCACTTGATATCATGATCAAAAGTTATCAATTTAAATCTGTGATAAGTGATTTTATTTTGACTACTACTGTAAATCCACTTCTATCAGATTAGTACCATGTCAAATAGGACGACAGGTGTTCCTGGTGTCTTGGTCTTCTTACATTCAGGTGAGTTTTCCACAGGAGAACATGAGAGAGATTGTCCCATAAAGACTTAAAATTCTCCCATTCCATGGGAATACGATATGGCTGATTGCAACAGTATGATGTTGAGCACTCTCTGATCTGGGAAGTCCCCTCGAATATGTGTACCTTTTTCTGTGAGCTCAGCATTAACCACTGGAGTCTCTCCAGATTGTCGGGAAATTGTGTACAAAGGACACAAAATGTTAATTTAAGAGGTAATTTTAGAAGCTTACACTGCATCAGGAAGATGAGTGTTAATGAGCAAAACTTAATTCCAGCATGTGAAGTGCCTGACTAACTGAAGAAGATCCCTGCTTATTAGAAAGTCTTGCCTATTTCTAGTTAGGATGATATTTCCTCTCTCTTCCACACGCTGTTCCTCATACTGACTTATGTTATGCAGCCACTGATTTTTTATTTTTCTTTGTCATGTTCAGACAGAGGAGCACTCCGTGGAGCACTGACTACATTGCTTGGCAGGCATTCTTCATTTTCTGTTAGCTTTCTACTACTAAGAGCCATAGCTCTTTGATACAATCAAACACTTGGCAGTGGAAAGCTGCCATGAATAACACTCCAGCTTTGTAGCGTTTGTCACTAATCAGCTCTCAAAAGCTCTTGGAATTAGGTGAATGAAGAAAATGTTGCTTGAATATTTCTGTCTTTTTTTGGAGCCCTTTGATTATGTGTATAAAGAGAGCATCTATGTACATAACCTTCTTCAGATTTAGATTTTCATTCTATTATTGGAATCTCTCATGTGATAAACAGCAAGGCTACTGCTCAGTATGCGCCAACACCTGGGAATAATCATGCAAAAATAACAGTGAGAAACTGCAGAGCATCTGTTCTTGACATTAACTTTCCTCAGTTTGACAGACTGCCACCACCAGATGTTAGTCTTATGTGCCTTTTTTCCACTGGAGATGGCGGCCTTCCTGCCTCTCTCTTTGCCTCTAATAGCTTACATCAGTGCCTTTTGGAGAATTCGTGAAAACAATTGTGTCACCACAATGATCGCTGAGAACCACCACTTTGCTGTGCTGACATTACGATTATCCAACAAGATGGGATAATTTTAAAACATGGAAAACTGAGGCAATATTTAAGATCAGCATATTTTTTCTTATGAGTAAGTTCATATTTGTGCAACAAACAGGAATTTCAGGGATAGTAAATGTCCACTTAATTCTCAACCAAAGGCTTCACGTTTTAATTCAGAGCAACAGCCCCTTTTACTGCAATAGCAACTCTTCAGCCTTGTCCTGTGTGAGTGTTTCTAGTGGGAAACATGAACATTTATTAGCAGGTCTAAATAAACCAGAACTGAATACAAATATTTGCAACAAAGAACTTAGTAGGGTATACTGTCAGATCCATGCTTTCTTTAGCTCCCCCTCACTGTTTATAATACTTGGAAAATGGTAGACAAATCTGCCAATTTAGTCTACATTAATTTAAAACATTGGCTAGTTTAGTATGATAACAGCAAACATTTTGGTTTTTCTTTGGCTTTATGATGACTGTATTTTATGGAAGAATGATGTTGCATGTGTAGTAGGAGGTTTTGCACAGCTTTACAAAACACCATGTAAACTATCAAACAGGCCATTCATCAGCATTTCTTGGTTTTATAAAGGGGTGTGGCTTAGCTTTTCTTAAGGAGTATTTAGTATTCACATTTTTCTTTGACTTTTTTTTCTTTGTTCTGTCTCTAACCTGAAGATTATTTTAGTCATAAATAAAAAGAACCCCCCCAAAATGAGGGTGAGTTTGGAGAAGAATGTGGTTATAGGTCCCTCTGCTCTCCTCCCTAGTTCTACTGTAATTGAGATCAGAATCTGGGCTGGTCATATAAAGATAATACAAAATGTTTTTGTTAAATATTTAGCACACTAAAGGCTTGTGTGTACAATTAAAAGTGTTGTCTCTCAGTTTGAATGCATGAATGGTGCTCGAAGCGAAAGAATTATTATGAAGGCCAATTGTAACAATTGCTACAATGTTTAAACAGTTCTTTTTAATTTTAGATTTCTGTTTTAGGTCTCATTATGAAAAGTGGCCATGTGATGAAGTGAGCTGATCTGTGATACAAAGGATGTATACAGGAGGATAATACTCTTTAGTCCTTTCTCGTCTTTGTATGCTCATTTGCCAACTTGGCTTTAAAAGAAAGCAAAATTAACTCTGATCTACATTAAGATATATTTGAATGAAACCTAGATGACAATGTGTAGTGAGTCATTATGTCTTTTCTATTTGAGTCTTCTTATGGGGTCCAAAAATAAAAACAGCATAGACTTAAAGATGTTTGATCATTATTTGAAAGCAGCTAGAAAGCATCCATTTTTAAAAAAGTCATGGGTTGAAGAATGATATCTATGATCCAGTGGGCCAAATAAACATGAATTTTAGGTGTTTTAGCTGTTTGACTGGGCACACTCATATGCTTATTAAGCTATCTTTTGTGTGACAAAGGAACTTACGGCCACAGTAAAATACTGAGAACCCTCGGGCCAAATCTGTATACAGAAAATCTGTTACTGGGTATATTGGAAGTCATATGGGAAAGATAGCTTCTTCAGTTCATATACAGATATTGTCTCTGTGTGAATTGTCTGTGTACAGACTTATTGTCTGGCGAATTGTATTCTTCCAAATATGCATTTTGGAAACCCTGACAAATTAGACGGTTTGAATAGATTCTTGTAAAAGTCCTCATCTGTTACTTCAGGTAGAAAGATGTAAATGTTATCTGTAAGCTGTTAGGTGGGTGATCCCTAATGTATTTTAAATGATTGGATGACAAAAGAATATATTTGATGCCATGTTGATATTAGAATTGTTCCAACTGCTAATTTCTTTATGATACATATGAAAAAATGGCATTTATATGTCTTTGTACTACCTTTATAATAATGTTTGTATTTAAACAGAGAATTATGTTCCCAGTTTGCAAAATTAATTTCCATCCACAAATCAGTCTCTGTCAGCGCCAAGAAAAAAGTGGCCTTAATCCTTGTTTTTAAAATTTACTATTATTTCATTCTAGCAGTCTATGACAACAGGGAATAGTCTTGTAGAAACTCAGCAATTTGCCTTGTTTAGCATAATAGATACTTCTGTACTTAATTTTTCATGTGCAGCATTTGGGCTGATGTCAAAAAAATTAAACTCATAAGGCTGAAATTACCCATGATACACCAAATCCCTGCATACACAAATGCAGTCTCAGCAAACTGGGCTTTTTTTTTTTTTTTTTTAAATTGAACTTTTTTTAAAAAAAAAAATCTCACAGCACCTTTATAGTAAGTTTGTCTGTTGTTTTCAGGTTGATCCCCTGTTTACAGTGCCTGCACCTCCACCTCCGATTTCCAGCAGTATCACACCTCAGATTCTGCCTTCCTACTTTTCCCCATCTTCATCCAATATTGCAGCACCAGTCGAGCAGCTTTTGGTACGGACTCGTTCAGTGGGTGTAAATACTTGCGAGGTTGGAGTAGTAACAGAACCTGAATGCCTTGGACCCTGTGAGCCTGGGACCAGCGTGAACTTGGAAGGAATTGTGTGGCATGAAACTGAAGAAGGTAAATTGTTTTTTTCCATTAGGTTTGTCTGTGAGATACATTAACAAGGAGGACACTGCTGTATCTGCCTGGGTGCTAAGAGCTTGCTAGTCTGTTGGGACACCATTATGTACAATGGCAGTCACAGCTTTATAGCTCAACTCGTGAGTTTTTCTTTTTAAAACAATGGCAGGATTTTTTTTTTATTATTTAAGCAACTGTATTTTCCAAATGACCTACCATATAACCCCAGTTAACAATAGAATAGTTTCTTGTTGCTGCATTGAAAAAAGCATATGAAGAAATAGCTAATAGAATAGCATAAATGTGCTGTTTAAGTGTACAGCATGAGGGCAGTATATATTTGATGGGAGTCGATATACAGGTAGTTTAGATGAAAACTTAGCTGAATATTTTTGAATTCAGACACTATGATCAAAAATGCCACCATCACATAACGATAGAAGCCCCAGAGACCCCACAGAAATTCAATTTGATGTGATTATTGTTTGCATTGTCATTATATAAAACATGGTTTAAGAGGAAAGCATTCTTGCTCGGAGAGAAGTCTTCCATCTGGTGAAGAAGTGCTATCTAAATTAGAGTGATTTCTTTAATATCCTTTGGAGGCATTTGGCCAAGTATGAGTGCTGGAGAGCTTTGGGGAGTACTAAACATTGATTTAATATGATTTAGAACAAAGTAAGTAGGAAGAGGATTATGCTGTGATATGCAGATTTTTCCATTTTTGTTTTCAAAAGCTCGTTATTAAAATACCAGCTTTCTCCTGTTAATGCTAAAAATACTGCATGTGTACCGCAACTTCTGCAATTTTTGGTTTAATAATAGTGTACTTCTCCAGTTATAGGTGCTTGAGAGTCTTCCTGCGATTGTTCTTATGTTTGTTTTGAGGATTATTTAATTTTTAGTGATCTACCTCCCTCAACAGTGAAAACAAGATTATTTACAAAATGAAAGAATACAGCAGTGCATTGCTTCATGATAAATCCTGACATCCTTCAGACATATGCACAATGGCATTTAGTCTTTTGCAGTGATATATAAAACCTCACCACTGTCCTCTCAAAAATCAATAGTGAGAGTCAGATTTACTTGCTTTTATATGCTTTCATCCATCCGTCTTTCTGTGTATGTCTACAGCAGATTCATAAGGTAGATTGATCCTTTTAGATTGTTTTTAAAGCACAGTATAAATTCTGTTTTAAAATATCCCTGCAGAGATGACTGCCCTTAGCAGCTCCAATCTTCCTTGACTGGCCTGTATTAACCAGAGTTGGAATGTGTGGGCGTTAACTGTGTTGACATGAAAGAGCAGTAGCTGTTAATAGTGTTATTCTTGTTGGATAAACTAAACTTCTGACCCCCATGGAATTTAAGAAGCCTATCGTGTTAAACATTTGGCACCAGAAACGAAAGTATTAAAAAAAGTGCATTCTGGTCAGGATGACATTCCATTTACCAGTTTCTCAGCACTCTGCTGTTTTAAAACTTCTTGTTAGTTAATAGAAATTAACTCCTTTAACCTTTTCCCAGTTTGTCTAAAACAATTTTCTGAAACAGCTCAGAGTTCAATGATGGCATGTTTGAGCAAAACAGTTTTCAATGTGCCTGCTTTCACAGTTTTACAAATACTATTTGGCAGCACTACAGCTATAAGTGATGACAATAGCAGATAAAACGGGAATCCAAAATACTCTAGAAATATAGCTAGAATGTAGATTAAGAGGCTGAAGATAACTGATATGATTTTGTATCATATGGGTTTATACTGTGCTCTTTGTGTTTTACTGTTTTAGACCCCACTGACAGAAGAAAATAACATGAATTTTACTCTTTTTCTTTCCCAGTGTTCACAATCAACACTGTATTAAGAAAAATGAGTTTCTAATGATTATTTTTGCATTTTAATTAAGTTTTGATGTTTAGGGCACACATATATATATATATTTAGCCATTTAAAATTTTTCTGGTATGTTTTTAAAAGCAGCTGTACAGCAGCTTGCGTGAAGCCATTTCTGCCAAATTTTAGAAAACAGGGTGCAGATGGGTCTTCTATTTATCTTAAACGAAAGGAAGATTATCAGATACTCATTTTTGCCAGTTATGGTTTTGACTTTAATTAAGCCAGAACATGACCTTTCATAAATCGGTGTAAATCCAGAATACCCTAACTGAAATCTTTGTAATTGGCGACATCTAAAACCATCTTGATGTTGATAATGACCTACTGAAATAGAAAAATTTCTTTTGTGGTGCCCATATGTTTCTTTCACATTCATTCTCCTCCCTGCTTTCCAAAACCTAATAAAAACACACATGCAAACTGACATCTGTGTAGCTGTCTATACATCCCAGAGCTTTTTAACGTAAAACAATTCTAAGAAGCTAAGGTATGAAAATTTCTGTCCTTGGCATGTGTTTTGAGATATTTGCATTATTTTGTATGAGATTTGGCCACTCTGTAACATGAGTTGTGAGGTGTTTAGAATAGGCTTGTGGGTTTTCTGCATATTCTATGGTATGTGGGAGCTGTGAACCAAATGTACTGCTGAGCAGCATTCATATGCTACAGCAACTGGCTGTGGGTATGCAAATACAGAAAGGATGTGGTGATCACAGTTATTAGAATAAGAATAGTAGAGCAATCGAGAAAAATGAAATCAGATCGTTTATGTAGAACTCATTATTAAATGTAATATATGCTTTATAGAGGAGAAGGCGTATACTTGAGAATTCATGTTTTGAAGGTTTTTTGTATCTGAAATAACCAGTTTTCTTTTAGGAATGTTAAACAAGTTGTCGCATTCTGTTGCATTTGTTCTTCAAGGTCAGAAAAAGGATGATGGTTGGTTTTATTAGTCATGTTTTAAAGATAATCACTCTGGGGGCGGGGGGGGGGGGGAAGGCAGGGAATCATCATTTGATTTCAGACAAAATGGTGGCAGATCAAAGAGAGTGTTGTTACTATAGCTCTTTTCATTCTTCCACGCCAGTCCGTTCAGTTGACCTGATCAGCAGATTTAATAAATTAGGCCATTTTTCCCGGAGTGTTTCAATCTTAAGATCTGTATAGGGAAGCTGGCATCTGAAGTCTGTCACGTTTTATTACAGGGCTTTGTAACTAACCATAGCTGGTTACTCATGTAATTGACTGGGGCTGTTGGTTATCACATCGGCATTTCGCAGTTGCGCTGCTAAGTTGTGCCGTGTTTAATTTCTACGTATGTATGCTGTAGGCATTTTAATCTGCTCAATGACCTTGTTTGGATACGACTTGATAATTTGTCCAAAGTGGTGTTAATGGCTGTAGAAAAGAACATTGAATGAACTAGTTGAGGCTACCCTATGGAATGAGAAATGGTTATGGGCAAGTCAACCTGAAAGCTGGCAGCTGATACAGGTATTTGAAACCAGAAACTACCATCCAGTAACAGTCAGTGTCCTTCACAAAAAACCAGCTTGGTAATGTTATTGGAGCGTATTTTTTTTTGTTGTTTGATCAGTTCTTCTGATACTCTGGGAAACAGCTCCTAAAAGACTGTATTTCTCTCTAGAATCAGGTACTTGCTAAATCGTGTAATTATCTTCTGGGAAAACACTTTTAAAGAGAGCAGTAATTGTCTCTTACTGCCTGGAGGAAATAAAAATGACCCAGAAAAAGGGAAACCACCAACCAACTCTCTAAATTGCTTAGAACTTGCTTTTTTGTTTAGTTTCTCACACGCGATTGCCCTGGGTCATGTCCTGTTTTCAGTTCTGCATCTAGTAGTAGAGTCTGCCTTTAAATGTGGGAAGTGCTAGTTCTGATGATGTCTTGTTTGCTTGAAAACTGTGTAGGAGACAGACATCCATCACCTTGCTGCCTTTGTTTGCAGAACAAGCTGTCTATATGCGGCATTGGGAGTTCTTGCATTGCTGCACTGACATTCTTCCTCTTTGTGCAGTTTGGGTTCAACTTGCTGTTGTTGTTCAGTAAAAAATAATGGGGAAGTGAGTTGTATTTTCTAAAGTGTCCTCTTACCAGGGTTAGCTCATTGATTTTTATCACTTGAGACTAGTTGTTAAATGTTAGAAATAGTAACCTGCTGGGTCTCAGAAATCTTATGGGATCATCTCCAGGGTAATCCAAATTTATCCTAGCATCTGTTCTGACACTATTTTGCAGAAATTTTCAGTAGAAAGGAGAATGCTTAGATGACAAAGAGGCATATTGGTACTTGTGTATGAGATTCCCTGCCTGCCATGTTTGCAACTAATACTCAATGTTGTTTTGAAAACATGTCTGTTGCACAGAGTGACGTGGATTCCTCCCTGCCTTACTATGTGGTTAGTTTTGCAAAATCTATTTTAAAAGAAGAATCTGTTTTAAGTGACTGTGGTTATATATGTGTTTGTACATGTGTGGATAAGTAAGGGTGTGTAGTGTCTATAGGAACAGAATTAGAAAAATGAGAAGTAGTCTGACTACCTCTGATTCCCCTTAGCAATTTTTGTGGTTAACAACCACATTTTCTTGCTTTCACAAATACAAAGGCATGATGAAACAATGATACTTGACGTGTTGAAAGTCACATCAAATGTAAGCAAACAAATGCAGAAATTGGAGATTTTTAAAGGATCTGTTTTATAAGAGAATGTTACAATAATTAATAGAAATTCAGATAAACATGATTAAATGTTGTCTTAGCACAGGAGAGACATAGGCCTGTTGAAGCAGGTCCAGAGAAGGGCCGCAAAGATGATCAGGGGTCTGGAGCACCTGCCCTGTGAGGACAGGCTGAGAGAGTTGGCGTTGTTCAGCCTGGAGAAGAGAAGGCTCTGGGGAGACCTTCTAGCAGCCTTCCAGTGATTAAAGCAGGCCTGCAGGAAAGGTGGGGAGGGACTCTTTGTCAGGGAAGGTAGTGATAAGATGAGGGGTAGTGGTTTCAAACTGGAAGAGGGTAGCTTTCAGAGTAGATATAAGGAAGAAATTTTTTACGATGAGGGTGGTGAACCCCTGG